TGGGTTAATTAGGCAATAAACCCATTAATTAGCCAATTAACATAATTTAAAAGGAATGTGTTTGGGAATTACCTTGTAGAAAGGATTTGATGAGATGGACTTTAAATTGTTACCTATTTTGGGCACTTCTGTCTTGGTTGAAAGAGGGTTGCCCGCTGCTTGCGCGTAGGAACCTCGTTGTACTGCAAGGGTATTTTTGTCCTTTTTGTCCAAAAAACCCACATGTCGCCTTGTGAATATTTTTGGCTCCACACTTATTACTTTTAAAAGTTGATATATGGATTACATTACTTCAAAAATAAGCATGATATTTATTTTGACTAAACACTTTTTAATTACTTTTTTTTAACAAACTTTATTTCTTAACTTTGAAGTGAAATAGTTTTTTTGTGTAAAATTGAAAATATTGAACAGACCTTTAATATTCTTCTTCCTAGTGTGAGTGACATTTGAATTGAATCGAGTTTGTTACCAATTAATTGCCACACTTGATTAGTGTTAATAATGTCGTTAATTATATCAAAAAGTAACTAAAAATGATGACGGGGAGTGTAGTCCCGAGCATATAAGCTCGTCGGTGCAAGTTAGCAGCGAGTCCCTTAGAGCAAGTCCACCGGGGGTGGGATAGGCCGGCACCCAGTGGAAAAACAGGCTGAGACTCAGCCAATCCACTCCAGCCCGTGGAATCGACTGGCACCCAGCCCAAGCCAGTCCACAGGCCGGCCTAAAATCGACAGACCTTGGGACCGGCTCAAGTGATGCCTAGCTGACGCCAGCGTGGTGTCGGAGGGCAAGGAGCCACAAAGGGAAGGAGCCATGGAGTTGTCGACATTGCCAACATGAACAACGCCGCCAAATTAGCTACAACGATGAACATCAGCAGCAGCCACAGCAGCACCGTGAAGTCCTCCTCCCCGCCGTCTCCCCGCCCGCTCGACCTCACTCTCAAAACCCCCCTCTTGTCTACCGGCGGTGGCTACTTCAACGCCATGAGCGGCTTCCACCCGCTTCCCATCCCGTGATCTTCTTCGACGCCTTCGCACGGGCCAACAGCGCCGCCGCCCTCTAGCACGCCCGCAAAACTTGCAGGTTCGACCCCCCCCACATCAGGCTCGGGCCACAGCGACTCATCCTCGTCTTCAGTCCTCTACTTCGAGCGCACCTCCCCCCTTTTTTCTTTCCGGTCCAAGTTGGTGCCCAACTTTATAATAATTATTTTTATTATTTTATAATAAAAATAATAATATTTTAATAAAATTGACTAGGCTATTTTTTGTTAGGGGTGGAGATGCATTGGCCTATTACTGTTCATTAGAGTTTATTACTGTTCACTGAAGTGGATAAATGGGCTGGGTGCTGACACAAAGTCCTTAGGAGTGGACTTGCTCTTAGTGTTAAGAGACTTGGATGGCAGGCAGGCCCATTTTCATGGGAAGATGACGTGGCACAATCTCCAGTGTTGGATTAATGCTGGCTGGTCCAAAGAGGCAAAAAGCATGGGATCGGCTTCTCATTCGCAAAGCCCCAATGGGCAAGCCTAATACTATGTATCATACATTGCTGTTTTTACCAAAAACTTGTCTTTCTTTTCTTCAGATATTGGTGCTCATTGATTTTTCATCTGAATTTATGCTGCAGGAGAGAAGGAAAGCATGACCAATATCAGAGGAAGCTGCAGAACAGGTATTCCTTACTCCTTTCTGCTTAGTGTTTGCTGATTTCATTTTTCCATATACATGGTAATGCTATATATTATTGTATGTATGTATGTATGTATGTATGTATGTATGTATGGGTGTTAAATACAATACAATACAATACATACATACTAGAGTTTCAGTTTGGTTTAATTATTTGATTATTACTTTCATGTATTGCATTGAAGGGAGCAGATTCTGAACCCACGAGTACACATGGTCCTCAAAACACTCTACTACTCCCATGGGTAAGCAAATCCCACTTAGTTTTACGAAAACCGGATCGATTCGCTTTAATTTGATTCTTTTCTTGTTGTTGTTGTTGTTGCTGTTATGACTTGTGAGATTTTGTATACAGATTCGTTCTCTTAGCTGCTTTTTCTTCTTTTCAGGTGGAGTAGTGGTTATTGGTTTAGGTGACTGTGAACCAAACTATGTTACTTGTGAATGCAGGCTCCATTGACCTAGATGGTAACTTCAATTCCATCCATTGAGAGAGAGATCCATACCACACACAGTCAGAACTGAAGTCTGTTGAGCCGTTCCAAACTTTTTTAGTTTGTTGTGTGAATATGATGCTCTGATACTTCCATTGATTCATCAACTGTAGAGGGTGTAGTCTGTACAATAATATATAAGAGACTTGTACTCCGCTTCAAATTACATAAGATAATACATTGGTCTTCAAGATGATAAGAGATAAGGGTTTAGCATGCGTTTTGGTCTTTGTAGAACAATCATCGCAAGCAGACTAGTTTGAACAACCTCACCATCATTTTTACTTACACTTTTTACTACTTGTTCTCAGGTGATGCTGCACTTGAGGAGTTTGCTCATGAACCTAATCCCAATGACGGTAATGGTGCCAAAGGAGATGACGGAGATCATCTGCAAGAAGTGGATGACGATGGTGATGCTGCACTTGAGGAGTTTGTTCATGAACCTAATCCTAATGACAGTAATGGTGCAGGAGGAGATGGCAGAGATCATCTGCAAGAAGGGGATGACGACAGTGATGATGACCCTGACTATAAAATGGTAGATGTCATTCGAAGACCATGGAATACTCATGATTTTTTTGATGTAGGAAGTCTTGACTTATCTGGCTACAATGCAGCATGGCAACTAGACAATGGAGTCAGGCTACTACTTGTGGGCAAGGGTGAGATATGGAACAGATACAGGAGCTCGATGTTATAGTCATCACGGAAGATTAGATTCCGTACCTACCTACCTACCTACCTACCTATGGCAGTCAGCGAGATGGGGGGGGGGGGGTGAATCAAGTCGACTGAGAGAGGGGAGAAAACATATGAAACAGTTTGTAAAAAGTAACGTCGAAGATAGTTGATAGTTCTGAGTTCAAAGAAACACTCAAATTCTATTACTTTGGGAAACAGAGTACTGACTACTGATCAGGTTTTGAGCTAGATATGGGGGCTGAAAGATATGAACACTTACGAAGTCTCTTTCGGTTTTTTTCTTCCTACCGCGTATTGGCATTCGATGATTTTTATCTCTTTTACATAAATAATTGTCTTGCAATTCTAGCAGTGATCATATTCAAGGATTCAACAATTCTTCGCCAAACTGGGATGCTGGAACCTGGAGTGGTATGAATTCATGTGTTTGAGATAAAATTGAATCTGAAAAATGGCTATAGCAGTTACAACGCTCTTCCGAGTTCTGTTGAGTTGCGAATTTAGACCGGCCATTCATGACCTACGTATCAAATCTAGACAGTTTGAGTGACAGCAACCCCCATCTTTTGTGCATCATGTGAAAGAAGTCTTCTAAAAAACCCTCAATTAGCTGGGACTGGTAAATGTTACCAGTTCCTATAAGTTTAATTCGATGTTTGATTGTTTGATGATCACGGTTCAGAGATGGTTCTATTAGGGCATGTAAAGTCATCATTTGATCAGGAGTTAGGACCATTACCTCACAGCCTTCATCCCCCGGACCATTGTCTCTCACCTGTATCGCGTTGGCACTTGGTCTTGGCCAGATCGAAGACAAGGTTCCTTTCCTCATCGTCTCCTCCTCTCTTTGAAGGACAGCCTCTTCTCTACCGAGTACCGACGTCGATGCCTCGACCAAAACAAGTTTCATATCGAAATAAATTGAAATAATTTTCTGAATAAAGTTTTGTTCAAAACTCTCCTACCTTCCAATGCCAAATCTTATCTTTGTCGGAACTCTAAAGTTTGGCAGTAGTGCTACATTTATCATCTATTTATACTCTCACTTGTACCATTTTTTTAATTGAGGTAAAATCCGCGTAGGTCTCATCTCTATTAGAGAAATATACAGATGGTATCATAAATAGATGGTAAGAAAATCATTTTTGGTTATAATTTAGCGTTCAAAAAATTACAATTGTGTTTCAATCTTAGTCCAAGGACTTATCGACATAAAATGTTATATTATTGCAACCTAACAAGTCCGTTTCAACATAAAATGTTACAATATTAGAAACAATAAAATATATGTTACTTTATTATTGAACAACATCTGAAATTGAGTAGTAAGTACCCAATTATTATCAGAATAAACATGGAAAAAAATTAATTACAAGTTAACAAAAAAGATCAAATTACCTACATGGTGCTAACTGCCTTGCCGACAGTGGTGGTGAAATCGAGTTTGGAGGAGGAGGAAAACCACACAAAAATTATGTGCCCCGCCACACATATGTGTCGCAGCGTCGTACACGTGGCACACGGATCAAACACAGCAAGCGATTTTGACTTTGGACTTTTGGATCTTGCATGATCCAACGATCCATCTACTTCGACCAAACTCCGACCAAATCAGAATTAAATTTTGCTGTCTGTGAAGAAAGATTTTTGAATGTGACCAAAGCCGCGGTAGTACATTACATGCTACTATATATATACAATAGATATGTGTGTTAAAGAATTAATAATATAAAAAATAAAATATTTTATTACTTATATAAAAACATATAATGTGCTACTGATGTTTCGGTTACAATGAAAATTTTATGGTATGTGAGAAGGGATATATGATGAACCTCCCGTTGGTCAAAAAGAGAACGCGCAGAGAACAAACAAAAGAAAAAGAATAATAAATTAAAATGAAATTAAAGAAAAGAATAACAGATTGCGCGGCCAATGATCAACTTATTGGAGGCATCCTCCTGTTATGGTATTATTCTCATCCTCTTTTATTTGTGTGATCACGATTAAGTCACGTTAATATTTTATATTATTTTTTTTTATAAAAATAATAAGACAAAAAATAATAGAAATATAAAATATTAACGTGATTTAACCATGACCAGGAGATATGAAGGGCACCACAGACAATCTGCCTCCAAACTTATTAATGGGAGGCAGCGACTGAGATATTCCGGACTTTTCCAAGAACTCTGAACTCATTCAACTGAGTTAGTCAGGAAAGCAAAATCCCGACACGCAATTCTGGTGACGGGTGAGTTTTCTGTTAAGTTGGTTGGTTGTTTTATTTCCAAGTTCTGATTCTATAAGAGAGAGAGAGTGATCTTTCTGTTAAGTTAGTTATTTCAGTTCATCTGGAAGCAATCCTTAGCTTTGATTAAGGTTATTTTCATTACTGCACTGCAATGTCTGGATTTGTATGTATGTATGTTTGTTTATATCAGTAGAGTAGTACACTCACTTAAAAAGCTTGATCCTTGATTGTGCATTCAAATCTGATATGAACAATATATAATCAAAGGAAACTAATGGTGAATTTTGGTTTATGGGTTCCATTCTTCTTTTCTGTTGCTTGTTTGTTTCTTGGTTTGATCTTCCATGGAGTTTTCGTTATCTTGATGAATCCACATTTCTGTATTTATACAACTTTTATGAAGATGAGGAATGAAGTTTACTGGCAATTGATGATTCCAACCTTAACTGTGTTGGTAAACAGTTGTGTAAGCTAATTGATTGAAGATCGAAACTTATATCGAGGTACATGTGTAACAAATTGGCTCAAGTGTCCAGCTGCTTATGCTTATGCAGGTTGTCTAGTTTGCTGAAGCATCGTAATGGGCTCGAAAGAGAGTGGATCCTTGGTTTCAGACCTAAAAGATCCTTTGTCTCAAAAAAATATAAACAATGCTCCAAAGGGTAGAAGAATTCGCCTTTGTAAAAGTGCTCCTCTTTCAAATTATGTAGGCTTCGAGACAGGCTTTGCCTCAGGTCCAAGTACCAAATCCTTTTTCAGAAAGATACACCCGAGTTTTCGTATTGTAGCTGCATTCTTGACTGTCTACTTAGGCTTAGGAACTGTATGTTTCTACCTCGTTGGGCACCAGCTCAAGGGAGAGAAGACAAATGGAGTTCTTGATGCTGTTTATTTCTGTGTTGTTACAATGACCACCGTCGGATATGGAGACCTTGTGCCAAACAGTGTTTTTTCAAAACTACTGGCTTGTGCTTTCGTCTTCTCAGGAATGGCTCTCGTCGGGATGACCTTGAGCAAAGCAGCTGACTATTTGATAGAGAAGCAGGAATTATTGCTCGTTAAAGCCTTACATATGAATCAAAAAGCTGGGCCTATTGAAATTCTTAAAGATATCGAGACCAACAATCTGAGGTACAAATGTATTGTGGTCTTTATCCTTCTTTTGCTACTCATAATTGGTGGCACAGTCTTCCTAGCTACTGTTGAGAAATTGAGCCTTGTGGATTCATTCTATTGCGTTTGTTGTACAATCACAACCCTGGGTTATGGAGATAAGAGCTTTTCGACTCAAGCAGGGCGTGCTTTTGCAGTATTCTGGATATTGACAGGTACCATTTGTTTAGCTCAGTTTTTCCTCTACGTTGCCGAGCTAAACGCCCAGAGCAGACAACGGGCGTTAGTAAAGTTGATTCTCACTCGTAGGATGACCAATGTAGATTTAGAGGCAGCTGATCTGGATGGCGATGGCGTTGTTGGGTATGTTAAACTTTTCTTCACAATTGCTTCTGTAGTATGAGCTTATTATTTCTGAATTCTTATCTCCTGATGGTTAACCAACAAATTTTGACACTCTGCCTCCATCCTTTACATAGGGCTGCTGAATTTGTCATATACAAGCTCAAAGAGATGGGGAAGATTAGCCAGGAAGATGTTAGACTTGTAATGGAGGAGTTTGAAGATCTTGATGTCGATCAGTCAGGAACGTTGTCAACGTCAGATATAATGCTTGCGCAACAACCTCAAATCGAGAAGTAACTCTGGCACTATGCTGGTGGCTTTGTAAGTTCGTGATATGTATGATTACTTATTCTTGCTGTGGTATGAATTTCTTAACTATGCCATTTCACAAACACTCCCATATATCTCTTCCTATAAAGACTTGGTTAAAACGCTTGGATTGCTTCTGTGTATTTTGGAGATCATTGTTCAGTATCGTCCTACCTCGATGTCAGTCTCATCCGTCAAAAATACAGTTTGTGTAATTAAATTGCACGATGACAGTCACTGACAAAAAGAATTTTGGAAGAAAATCACGGTTTATGACTCCTAAAATCTTTACTTAAATGGAATATAGCGTACAAACAAATTTTGGTCCTTCTTTAGATTGACAAATGGGACTGCTTGGTTCCTGAATTCAAGAATTTCGCCTGATGTGGTTCAATCTGTTTTGTGTTACGACAGATTAAAGATTTGGAGGTTGTGCATACGCGACGAGGATGCAGTGTGGTGAGAGCACTGAAGGTGTGATGTACTGAGGCACTGTATAATGATCATATTACACACTGCCTAAGAAATCTACTTGTTAAATAGTTTATTAAATATAGATTATGAAATCTACTGGTTAAATTATTGGGTACTTAACTGCTTATACAAATGGATCTGCTTCTGCATTGATTTTTACTTAACATGAATTAAGACTCAATTATAACAGAGTTTATCCACTGAACCGAATGCATAGGAAGCAGGGCCGGCCATGAGGGTATGCAAAAGGTATCACCGTACACAGTGGCGGATCTAGGATTTTAACTTAGGGTGGTCCCAATATAAAAGCTCCAAAAATAAAAACAAGACGAAAATATCATTGAACAAATAAATGGCAAACTACAATTTTCATTCATAATCTTTGTGCTAAACAAGCTAGAAATACTAAATTTGTCCACGACGGGATCTCATACATTGAAAACATGTCATGATAGTTTCATTGTCAATACAAGAAAAAACATATTTCTCAATGTAAACAACTAAGCTATCATTTAACCATTGATCCCTCATTCTGTTGCGGAGTGGACTCTTTATGATATTCATGGTGGAAAATGCTCTCTCCACTGAAGCAGTTGCAACAGGTAAAACCAAAGTCAATTCAATAAGTAACCATTTTCTTAGCAAGATCACTAATGCTTTGCAACTGAGAAAAGTCACTTCTCGAACACATAGAATGAATATAAATATCAAGTTGATCTTCAAGTGCCAATAGGTCTTTCTTCGTAAAATCTTGAGGGTACAATTGAGTAAGGCGAAGTAGCTTTTCTTTGTCAAAAGCTGTAAAAGAATCATTTGAACTCAAACTAGTCAAACAAATGAGCAATTCAGTACTTGTTTCATTGAAGCGATCATTTAACTCTGTAAGCTAGGAATCAAAGACAACAAAAAATAGCTCCACTTTGTAATGATGACAGTTGGTCTTTTTGTGGGTATTACGGCGCAACCTCCCATGAGCTACATATGTCTCATCCATGTTAATAACCTCAATATGATGTTGGACCGTCGCAAAAGGCCCTTTTTTTGTAGTGTATAATTACCCGTTCAATAAGCAAGTGAAGATTGTCATTGCTATAATGACTCTTCATAACTACATACGGAGGTATTCTGAACTTGATCGTCATTTTGATGAAAGGGACTTTTGTGAAGAGAGCGATATTAGTCTAAAATATCCATAATATCCCGATATTTCCATAAAAAATTCCGTGTTTTTGGACTACCGATATTTCCGATATCATCGATATTTTAGACCTTGCTAAGTCACACATGTATCTTACCATGCAATGTATAAAGTGTAAAATATTGTTCTAATTCAATATATATAAATGATTATGGTGTGTTTAAACTTCTTTCATTAATTACTACATATTTTCTACACTCACAATGTTTGTCAGCTCGTTATATAATCAACTTAAATCAGTTATATCTATCATGCAATGCATTTCCTTCCAATTTTTTGTGATAAACTAATGGATAATTGACTAAATAAACATCCTGCAAAGTTTCAATAAAAATTTCCAAGTTTTTCTTACAATTTCCGTGGTTTAGGACTACCGATATTTCCGATATCATCGATATTTTAGACCTTGCTAAGTCACTCATGTATCTTACCATGCAATGTATAAAGTGTAAAATATTGTTCTAATTCAATATATATAAATGATTATGGTGTGTTTAAACTTCTTTCATTAATTACTACATATTTTCTACACTCACAATGTTTGCCAGCTCGCTATATAATCAACTTAAATCAGTTATATCTATCATGCAATGCATTTCCTTCCAATTTTTTGTGATAAACTAATGGATAATTGACTAAATAAACATCCTGCAAAGTTTCAATAAAAATTTCCAAGTTTTTCTTACAATTTCCGTGGTTTTTATTCAATTTTTATCTATATCGATAATATCCCAATATTTCCATCGAAATTTCCTTGTTTTTAGACTACCAATATTTCCGATATCATTGATATTTTATACCTTGGTGATGATGATGATGAAGAATACCAAAATTATCAAGTTGAATGATCACATGAGATAGAGACATTAAGAAATAGAATAGCGGCAAGTTTGATGAATGCATCTAATTAGACTACCTTCAAGTACATTAACAATATTGTACAAATGAATCCTAGCTATTTAGTCTAAAATATTTCAATTGAAGTAGTTTGTCATACTAATTAATATTTAAGATAAAGTTTATAAATATTTTTCTTTTAAAAATAAAGTATATTTAGTAATTCACCTTTATTTGTTAAGAAAATTAAATCAATAGCACAACTAGTATTATACCATTTTGGTCATTTCATACTGTCACATCTGTTTTACATAAAAGTTTACCAAACACTATCATACTGTTTTTATTTTTTTCCAAAAGCACTTTTACAAAAAAATTTACCAAACACTCTGCTGCTTTATTTTACAACCACTTATTCTCACAGCACAGCAGAAACAACTTTTTTGCAAAGCACAGCAATACTAAAAGGTTTTTTTAGCTAAAATGGTCTATGAGATTTGCATAACTCTTCAATTTGGTCCCTGAGATTTGAAATCGATATAATTGGTTCCTTAGTTTGTCCACCATCAATCATTTTGGTCATTCTGTGAAAAATATCTGTTAAATTAGGATAAAATGACAAAGATACCCTTAATTTTTGTCAAATCGTTTTGGCCTATTTTTTTATTAAAGTAAGGGCATTTTTGTTATTTTAATCCTTATTTAACATAATTTTTCACTAAATGACTAAAATGATTGATCATGGACAATGTCAGGGACTGCTTTTATTGATTTCAAATATCATGGATCAAAGTGAGGAGTTATGCAAATATCATAAATCATTTTGGCTAAAAAGCTTTACTAAAATATAACAAAAAATATTTTTAAAAAAAATTAATGCACTCTGTCCAATTCAGTTTGGACCGGATTTTAAAAATGAAAACCAAGAACCAAATCAGTTGAGATTTGTACAGTCCAATTTTCGTTTGGGTTTGACAGGTTTTGGCCAACAGTTTTTTTTTTTTTTTTTTTTTTTCTTTTTCCGGTTTTATGGCACTCGATTTGGTTTAGTTTTTCGTTCACTTGTTTCTCTGCCCACAACTTGTTTTTGTTGTCCATAACTCCGAAATTGTTTTTTTTTTCTCAAATTCTTATGTCTTAAACTTTTAGTCCGAGATCATTAAATAATGATTTTAGCCTAATTTTTTTCGGTAACTTTTTGAAAATAAAATTTATGTAGATTATTTGAAGTTATTTTATGAACATTTTAATCCAAAAAATTTAAATTCCGATAAGTAATTAAAAATCATACAAATACATAAGTGTTTATAAAGTTTTAAGTAAAATTTGATTTAAATAATTTTAGACCTTAAATTTAATTTTGGATTTTCAAATCTTTTTTTTACCATTAGATTTGATCTCATTTGATCACAACTGTTAGATTATAAGTAAAAAAAAATGTTTGAAATATAATAATTTAGCCAGACTTAAATCCTGAGGAAATCTAGCCCAAATATGTATTTTCTCTATGTGGCTTATTTTAGCCCAATGGTTAGAGATGATTTGGAAGGGGTTTTAAAGCTTATATTTTAAGATTTATCCTATGGGTTGGATATGCCTAAGAATGCTAAAGAAATCTTAGAAAATTAGAAAAAGTAAAATGAGAAAGTTGGAAAGAAGTTTGTTTCCTCTCAACGAAAGAAGAGTCCCTTGGAAAACTAATGAAAAGGGCTTGAAAACTTTGAGTTTTAATGATAATGACAAAATAAAGAGTAAAGTGAATAGTATCAGGATTGATTTTTTAGTGTAAAAATATGATTTTTCGTTAAAGTGAACAATACCGGGTGCTTTTCATTAAAGTTCCCTTGTTTTTTTGTGTAGCAGGTCAACTTGAATGAAACAAATTTATAATCACGTCACGTTCTGCTTCGATAATGTCATGCTATGTGGAAATTACATACACTAATGCCCTGCGACAAAAACACTGTTCATAAGCACAGTGAATTGGCGAAATATCCTTAATTTACTGTACACTTCCCTTCTTATTTTCCTCATTTGCACAGTTAAATGACGAAAAAGGCCTTGGCTCTTTACTTGCTTTTTTCAACTCTTTCAAGTTTCAACTAGAGCCATTGAAGGGACTCTAACACTTCACCCAGCTCACCGCCTAGCTTTTCCACCGCTTCACCCTGAACACCGCCACCACTGATTCCTCCAAATCCATGATTTCGCAGAATCGCACCACATAACCAGTCAACAACGCAGAGCTCTCTTCGTCCACGGCAACTCATCGGTCCACCTCAACGCCGCGTGCGCAACAACTAGCACAATCCCAACCAGCAGCGGCACCCAAACATTCACCGTCACCTGGGAAGAACAGCAGTAGAACCCATTTTGCTAAAGGTAAGCAATATATCCTAATTTAGAATTCAAAAGTTCCTTACAAAAGCAGTTTATCTTCTCAAACACAAGGGAAATTGGCAAGATATACGGTATAAAAAATTCGGAAAAAATCTGAACAAGAAATTTAGGTCCGAGTATTAAGGATTGTTTTTGGTTGTGAAAAAGTTTGATTGAAAGAGTTCCGTCAAAAAGAGGTGAAACGCTGCTCAATACCCGGTATGCCTATCTGAACGTGATTTTGGGGGTTTTGTGAGAGACTAGGAATTATGCGAGCATTTGGTTTTTATTTATGAGATTTCTAATTTTGCATTACGCCTCAAGTTTTGTGCTTGGTTTTCAACGTCTGGTTCTATATCAAAATTGAGTTTATTAAAACATGTATTTTCTTAACTCAAATTTTATCATATTTCTTGTACAAAAAATGTAATTCCAATCTGAAGTTCTCTGTGACAATACAGAACAAATGGGAAATTTTTTGATGAGCCCAAGAACAAACAAGTAACATGAAAAATAAAATAATGTGGGCAATTTTTGAAACCGTATATATTTAGGACTTGAAAGTCCGTCCTTTTAGTCGTTCAAATCTACATTTTTGGTTGCACATAGAACTTTTAACATAGAATTAGTAAAATACAGATGCAAACGACTAAACAATGTGAGAGACTTTTGGAAATGTATGTAATGTAACTTAGGAATGTTCCCTTTGGATTGCAAATATGCTTTTGATGTAAAGTAAATAGAATGTAATGTAACTTAAAAAACTACTTTACCCTATTTGTTTAGTTGTTCTATTAATTTATAAAATGTTTTGCAATGAATGTATTGCTTTGTGTATGGTAATATACGTGTTTGTCAACGCAGATAAGCTGTTTCTAGCTTCTGAACATCAATTATTATTAGGTGCCGTTATTCAACTTTGTCTCTTTTTTGAGATATGATTCATATTTGCTGTAAAATGTAAATTAATTCTGACCAGCAATTTTACATTTGAACACTAATTATAACCAATACACAAAGTTTAATTACCAAGAACTACAAATATAAAAAAAATAAGATCAGATGATAATTTAAATGCTGAATATAATAAACTCATTGACTCCATAAGTGATTTATTCAACATTATAGATGAATAATAAATATCATGTAGATTCAGTTGCTTTCATTTATTTTTGAATAATTTAAAAATGAGTGTTAAATTTTGGTTACGGTTTCAAACCCGCAGTGGAACGCAGGCTTCTTTGCTAGTGTTTTCTACATAACATGATATTATTAGAGCCGAACACTGCGTGCCGTATATTGTTCCATAGAGTCCTTGTGAGGAGGTCATTACTCATTCTGAACAAAACAAAAATAATAATAAAAAATAAGGTCATCAAACATAGGAAGGTTTTTTGACTTTGGACTTTTGGATCTTGCATGATCCATCTACTTCGACCAAACCAGAATTATGCTGTTTGAAAGATTACGCGGCCAATGACAAAATTATCAATGGGAGTCCAGCGACTGAGATATTCCAGACTTTTCCAAGAACTCCGAACTCACAGAACTGACATATTATGTTGGTGACTGGTGAGTTTTCTGTTAAGTTGGTTGTTTTATTTCCATGTTCTGAATCTGGAGTGAGATCTTTCTGTAAAGTTAGTTATTTCAGTTAATTGGAAGCAATCCTTAGCTTTGATGAAGGTTATTTTCATTTCACTGCACTTTAATGTCTGAATTTGTTTGTTTGTATGTTTGTTTATAACTTTATATCAGCGGAGTAGTACACTCCGTTTGAAAGCTTGATCCTTCATTGTGCATTCAAATCTAATTTGAATAATATAATCAAAGAAAATTAAAGGTGAATTTGGGTTTATCGGTTTCATTTTTCTTTTTCTTGGTAGTTATTTAAAATTTAGTTATTGAAATCAATCAAGTTACTCTGTCAAAATTTTTTGATTTGATCTTTCCATGGAGTTTGGAAAAGGATTATTTCGATAACTTGATGAATCTATATTTGGGTATTTATAGAACTTTTATGAAGATGAGAAATGAAGTTTACTGGCACTTGATGATTCCAATCTTTGGTAAATAATTTTGTAAGCTAATTGATTGAAGATTGAAACTTAGAAGCTCAAAAAAATGTTGTTGAATTGAGGTACATCTGTAACAAATTGGCTGAAGTGTCTAGCTGCTTATGCCTATGCAGGTCATCTAGTTTGCTGAAGCATCCTCATGGGATCGAATGAGAGGGGATCCTTACTTTCAGGACTAACAGATCCTTTGTCTCAAACAAATAAAAACAATGCTCCAAAGGGCAGGAGAATTCGTCGTTGTAGAAGTGCTCCTGTTTCAGATTATGTAGCCTTAGAGACAGGCTTACCCTCAGGTCCACAAACCGATCAGTCCTTTTTCGGAAATATACACCCGAGTTTTCGCATTGTAGCTGCATTCTTGACTGTCTACCTAGGCTTAGGAACTGTATGTTTCTACCTAGTCAGGAACCAGCTCAAGGGAGAGAAGACAAATGGAGTTCTTGATGCTGTTTATTTCTGTATTGTGACAATGACCACTGTCGGATATGGTGACCTTGTGCCAAACAGCGTTCTTTCAAAACTAGTGGCTTGTGCTTTCGTCTTCTCAGGAATGGCTCTCGTCGTAATGATCTTGGGCAAAGCAGCTGACTATTTGGTAGAGAAGCAGGAATTATTGCTCGTTAAAGCCCTACATACGAGTAAAAAAGTTGGGCATATTGAAATTCTTAAAGATATCGAGACAAACAGTCCGAGGTACAAATGTATTGTGGTCTTTATCCTTCTTTTGCTACTCATAATTGGTGGCACAATCTTCCTAGCTACTGTTGAGAAATTGAGCCTTGTGGATTCATTCTATTGCGTTTGTTGTACCATCACAACCCTGGGTTATGGAGATAAGAGCTTTTCGTCTCAAGCAGGGCGTGCTTTTGCAGTATTCTGGATATTGACAGGTACCATTTGTTTAGCTCAGTTTTTCCTCTACGTTGCCGAGCTAAACGCCCAAAGCAGACAACGGGCGTTAGTAAAGTTGGTTCTCACTCGTAGGGTGACCAATGTAGATTTAGAGGCAGCTGATCTGGATGACGATGGCGTTGTTGGGTATGTTAAACTTTTCTTCACAATTGCTTCTGTAGTATGAGCTTATTATTTCTGAATTCTTATCTGCTGATGGTTAACTAACAAATTTCTCCACTCTTCCTCCTTTCTTTACATAGGGCTGCTGAATTTGTCATATACAAGCTCAAAGAGATGGGGAAGATTAGCCAGGAAGATGTTAGACTTGTAATGGAGGAGTTTGAAGATCTTGATGTTGATCAGTCAGGAACGTTGTCAACATCCGATATAATACTTGCGCAACAACCTCAAATCAAGAAGTAACTCTGGCACTATGCTGGTGGCTTTGTAAGTTCGTGATATGTATGATTACTTATTCTTGCTGTGGTATGAATTTCTTAACTAGGCCATATCACAAACACTCCCATATATCTCTTCCTATAAGGACTTGGTTAAAACGCTTGGATTGCTTCTATGTATTTTACTCAAATGGAGATATAGCGTACAAACAAATTTTGGTCCTTCGCTAGATTGACAAATGCGACTGCTTAGTTCCTTCAAGAATTTCGCCAGATGTGGTTCAGTCTGTTTTGTATTACGACAGATTTGAAGGTTGTGCATATGCGACGAGGGTGCAGTGTGGTGAGGGCTAGTGAAAGCACACAAGGTTTGATGTACTGAGGCAGTGTATAATGATCATAGTGGGAATGTGTACATTTGTGTGTTAGCATGTAGACGTATTTATCTTCTGTTTTGCTTTAGTAAGACGCTTCTTTTGTGTACACTATTTGGAGAGAGACTTAATCATACGCCAGTGTGGAATCTCAAACAAATAAACGTATGATATCCCGTTATTCGTTTAGAATATTACGGTGGTGGTGTACCGGGGGTGTAAGTCCGTCCTCCATTTTTAGGGTTCTTTGAGTTGTGCCAGGTGGTAGCCTTTCTGTGATCTGACCTTTCAAGTCATTGATTGATCATGGCCTAGAAAGAAAGCAATCCAGGTTTGCATTGTGATTCTGTGGATTAGATCTGAGCCCAGCAAAAGCAATGCTTCTAATGTCAAAAACTGAAATGATTGTGGGGCCACCACCATGTAATCCCTACACCTTTTGAATGATCATTCAATTTGTTGAAGGATGATATTATCTACCCATTTATTTTTATTCCTCACATATTTGTTAACTTTTGACCGTCGAATCAAATAAATTAAAAAAATTAATAAGAGCATAAAAAATAAAAATAAGGCATATGAATATCACTACTCTTTCTTGAAATCTTGCATTTCAGCCAGATGGGGAGATAATTCAAGGGACGGATCCAGAATTAGATACCATCACATCATAGGCATCTAATGCCCACTTAAAAATGTTTGACATGTCCCTACATTACACTTGATAGAATATAGAGTTTCATTAGGAAAATGATCTTTAGGCACTTTGTTTTTTTCCCTTACAAGCTTGTTTGTTATTTTGACTCTGAATAAAATAAAGTGAAAAAATTTAAAAAAATTTAAAAAAAATAAAAGTCTATAGAAAGAGAAAAACGTGAGCACATATTTTTGTTTTCTGGTATGATTAACGTATGTGATTGATTAGTATGAAAGTTGTTCTGTCAACCATTCCTTTTTCTCCTTTCGGTCGTCCTAATTGCTTGGTGTGGAATTTTCACGAACTATTGATGTGAAAGTTACCAAAGATATCCGCGTCGATAAGCGAAACTTATTTACAACTGAGTAATGTGACAATTGTTCACGTAATGACTGTTGTAAGAATAGTTCCTTGACATTCCAGAACATGAATGTTTCACTTTACATCAACGGTTGTTACACACCAGCCATGTTTACATTGGTGGGTCCAAACTTGAGCTAGTGTATCCGATTGTCCAAACCCCAATATTGTTACACATGAAATGTTTAATCTTCATTGGTTTTCTTCTCCAGCATCGTTATCACGGGAGCAAGATGTCCGATAAAATACCTTAAAGAGGCCGATGCACGACAAGGAACGAACTAAGAAAAAATGGCATGTGGCCTTAAATAATTTTGCATTTACTCCTAATTTTTTTTTTTATAAATTTGTCATAACACGTAAACAACTGATTCTAACAAATGATACTCATACTCGAGAGTTTAGACTAGAGTGAAGTAGCACCATAGAAAAGAGTGAAGTCGTTGTGCTTAATACAACTTCCGAGTTTCAAAAACTCGAAATCTTATACATGAATGTATTGTAACTTGGAATTGAAACTCTATGGTACTACATTGTCACCACTCACTAATAGATTAATGCAACAAAACCGTGTTGTCGGTGCTTATGTGTTTGGACTATTCAGGAATCTATGCATAGTACACTTTAGGGCTTATCTGTAACTGCAAAATAAAAGTTCAAATTATGCTCACACCGGATAAAAAAATTAAATTAAATTAAAAAAACTATAAAAAATGAAATGGCATTAAGTTCACTAGAAGAAAACAATCTTGCATGGCAAAAGTGGAACACTATATATAGTGACGTACTACGTCAATAGTATATTAATGTTTTTTTTTTTCATTTCACGATTCTTATTTATTGGCAAAAAAACGTAAATATAGTTGTGTACCCGTGACTATTAAAATATTGGTGTTGGGAGGAAATATCGATATGCAAATATAGTTGTGTACTCGTGATCATTAAAATATCGGTATCGGAAGAAATATTGGTATGTAAATTTGTGAAAATATTCACAGATATACCAAATATTGATATCGGTATCAATTGCTTTCGATAAAAATAATGAAATTTTGGACGAAATATAAAATTTCTCTAATATTTAGCAAATATTTTAGAAATTTAACAATATATGTCGACATATAAATTGTTTTTCCACTAAAGCCTTTTCACGTAGATCACGGTCGTGGACTCGTGGGTGACTTTGGAGTAGCCCCGCACTCATCAGATCCAATTCAATCTTCACCAATGCCACACTGCCACCAGACCAAACATTCCAAGCCTCTTCTCATTTTGAATAACAATGGCAGATAATGGGTAAATTTATTTATTTTTATTTTTATTTTTATTTTTATTTTTGAAAAGAGATGGTGACTTTACTCCAGCAGTCCACACCTTTGAGAATCGAAAAAAATCATAGAGGCATGTTAACCTCCCCTAACCATGATTGTGCAATTCACCAGCATCATGATTCGAAAAACGTGCCATGTGAAATACGAAACTAGAATTCATCTCCAAACATTGATCATTGCTTTTTCCTCATTCCGCACTTTTCAATTTATTTATATTAAGTGATTATTCTTTAATTTATTTAATCAAAAGGCTATAAAATAATAAGAAATGTGCTTAAGAAATAAATAGATCGTACCCAATGCATAATACTCCCGTTTTACGCGGGATCTGAAAGAGGTTAAGTGATTATTCTTTAATTTATTTCTTAAGAAATGTGCTTAAGAAATAAATGAGTGTACAAAAATTATTTTCTCAGTGTTCTTAAACCAATCGGCTTGGACATTGTTGTACCTAAATTCGAATCATTCTTACAACAAATCAAACTATTTTAGAATATCTTCTTGTCAACTATACCCAATATTGAAAGATTAAACCCTTTGAAATTGCTTGATCCGATATTATCAACATTAAACCCAATTCCTAGTGAAAAATCATGAACTCATAAGATTAATAGTTGGATCTAAAAAATAAATCAAGCTAACAATATTAAAAGAAAACAAAATTAAAAGGGACACATACGTCATTGATGGCATTATTCTTCCCAGAATTTTACAGTTGACAGTTTTGTCATCCACAAACCAAGGGGAAGAGTTAGAAATTACAGAGATAACAAAATACAAAATACAAAATACCAAAAAAAATTACAGTTCTGGTTCTTTTTCCTCGACTACTTTACTGCTCTGCTGCTTCTCGGATTTGTAACTTTCTACGATATGGTCCGGTTGCCCGGCTACATAATCCAGGAGCCCTTCACCGGGTTTGTCACCGGAAGCTTCGGAACCCGGCAACGTGGTCTTCCCGAAGACGACGACGGCGAAGAGGAAGAGCGCGGTGGAGAGAAAGAGGGGCCAGAAGTAGGCCAAAAGGGTCAGAAATCTGGGAGCTATTAGGGTTAGGGAGTAGAGGGCAAGGCAGAAAAGGAGGGCAAAGAGGAAGTGGAACTTGAACTTGACAAGCTTTTCTGGAATCTCCATGAGTTGAGTTTTGAGAGGGGATTGAAGTTTTGAGTTCGATTTTGTAGAGAGAGAGAGAGAGAGAGATTGTGGGGAGGTAATCGCGCTCACTGATTGCAGAGATTCTCTGAAGGAGAAAGGCTGTGTCTCCTGAGCTTTGTTTTGGAGTGAGTAAAATGGTTTATTTTTCTACAAGGGTAATAATCCTTTCATCTATGTTAATGGTATTCACACGTCACTTTTACTTCTCACATATTTTTATTAGTTTTTTTGCATTAATTTTTTTCAATTTATTTGAGACTGTAGAAAATTTTATGAGTTGTGTGAAAGGAAAAAAAAAAGTGTGTGGATAGCACAATCCATCTTTTTATGGTAATTACCTTGCACTTTGTTTACCAAAATGCCCATCAAGTGTCGAGGGATTTTCTAAGCCACTCAAAGTATTTGATACTTGGTGTTTTTCAACCGCTAGATTTTAAGTTAGAAACACAAAATTAAGATTTAACAGTTTAAAATTTTAAATTATTGTGTACTCTAGAGCACCATAAAATTTTTACGAAGTTTTTGTAATGATAAGGGCTTTGAGGTAGTTCAGATAGAGTCGGACTCCAAATGTCTAGTGGATATGTTTAACGGGAAAACTCAACTTGATGTTGTGATTGAAGGCATCCTCTTTGATGTTCAGTGGTTGAAACATCAGTTGAGGTATAATTGAGGCCAGTAGAATTTATCTTCGCTCCTTGTGTTTGCAACAAGGCAGCGCATCTAGTGGCTTCTTTTATTACTCGAGAAGGGAGCTTTCATAATTGGGATGGTCTTGAATCAGAATGACTATTTAATACTTTGACTTCGAATGTAAACATTTTCATTTGAATATAATAAAATTTCTTTCTTTTGAAAAAAAAAAATTCTTTGAATTTGACGAAAAAGTGCTCACATTTTTTCTTGGGGTTAAAACCCTTAATTGCATTTTGCACTATGTGGTTTGGGATCATTAAGGGCGTGTTTGTTTGACCTTCTTAGGGGGGACTGGACTGGACTACACTAATTGGTATTGTAGTCTGATGTTTGGTAGGGGCAAGGATTAGGTTTAATGGGATTAGATCCGACTCGCACGGATTAAACCCCTCGCTAGGAGTTCTTAGCAAACCACCCCAAAAACGTCCGGATTCGTAAGACCTCCTCCCTCACGTCGTCCTCCTCATCCGATTGCGCTCTTGCGAGAAAGAACCTCGGTCATCCTAGGAGAGAGTGTCGTCGACGTCCTCCTCCCTCACGTCGTCCTCCTCATCCTCATCTCTGCGTCCTGCTCGTCGTCAACTGCATCCTGGTCGCCCTCATCTGCATCCTGCTCCTCATCTGTTCCTCTCGTCGTCCGCTCCATCGTCTTCACGTAACAGATCTGCTCGCCCTCATCTGCCTCCAGTTGTCTGGTAAGCTTCGATTGTTCGATTTTTTTCGTCGATTTGGGTCGATTTTTTTCGTCGATTTGGGCGGATTTGTTTTGGGTTTGAGCTTTATTTGATTATGCAGATGAACAAATTTTAGGGTTTTGATATTTAGGTGAAATTGAGAATAGAAATTGGGGTTTTCATAAAGCTTGGAATTTGGGGTTTCAAATTGAGATTAGAAATTTGGAATTTGGGGTTTGAAATTTGGAATTTGGGGTTTGAAATTTGGAATTTGGGGTTTTCATAAAGCAGTGTGTGTGTGTATGTAAGTATGCAGTAGAAATTTGGAATTTGGGGTTTGGAATTTGGGGTTTTCATAAAGCTTGGAATTTGGGGTTTGAAATTGAGATTAGAAATTTGGAATTTGGGGTTTTCATAAAGCAGTGTGTGTGTGTGTGTATGCAGTGTGTGTGCGTGTGTATGTATGTATGCAGTGTGTGTGTGTGTATGTATGCAGGGTGTGTGTGAGCGTATGTCAGTGTGTGAGAGTGTGTATGTCCGTGTGAGTGCAG